AGTGATCGGAGAAAGATTATTTTCTTTTACCAGTTTCAAAGAGACACACCTTCTTTGCCAACCTACTTTGGCTCTCCTCCACCAGAACGAAGTTGGTCATTACTAACAAACATTCCTGGAACATCACAGTATGAACTGCAACGTGCAACTCTTAGAAGATTCTGAAGGGAGAGTTCTGCCATTTCCATCTTAGAAATAAATTAATAAATTCATAGATTTATCTGTATTGAGTCAGGTAGCTATTCTAAAAATCACTCATTCAATAAAGTGTAAAAACTATCAACAGGAAAGTGGCATTAAAACAAAATAAACATCCATGAAAATTAACTGACAAAACAGTAATACATTCTGTAATGATGGATAACACAAATAAAAGCTGAACAAAACCCATAATACTTGCTAAACAAATGGAAAATTACCATTTTGGGGATGTTGGGAAGAATGACAGTCTTGAATATGTTCTAAAAACCTAGGCACTTGAAGTGTTATGACTTTTATGTCCAATATAACTGGGGACTACAGGATTAACAAACACCTACATCTACCTAAGACCAGAAGACTGCTGACTGACCTTAAAAATCAGGTATGACAAATTAACAAAGGTGTGGAGGTTGTGAGTCTTCTGAAATAGGTCGCTACACAGACAAGATATTTCTTATTTAAAGAAAACAATGAGCAAGTATGTCTTGCTCTTACTAAACAGTGCTAGCCAAATGTTACTTTTCAAGCAAGATATTCAGCTAACTGCTGCTTCTCTGTGTCAGAGTAACCTTAGGGCACTTCTTTGATGATCACTATTCAAGGCAGCATTTACCACTAACAGAGAGGAAAACAAATCTTCAAGTTAAGATTCAGCAGACAAGTACAAGTAAAAAGGTAGATTTGTTTATATCGCTCTTCTTGCCCATCAACCAATCATACTGGAGGAAGACATAAATGACATAAATAAAAGACTCTCAAAAAAAGAAGAGAGATAAAAATATAGGAAGCTTGGCTAAAGAAACCTAAACAGTACCCAAATTAGAAGCTCTGTTGTGTGAAAGATCAATTAAAACATACAAGGTACAAAATGTTAAGATTCTGCAGAAGGGAATTCCTGAATTGTTTTCAGATGTTAAAGAGGCCGTTTTATTTTCTCTATATTTCTTCGGTGCAGATAATTCAAAACATGGTAAACTGCAACAAAGAAATACCTCTTGCATTTTTGACTTAGCTTATGCTGCAAGACATAATTAGAAATTTAAGTATTACTTGCATTGATTTTTCACAACACAGATTTTGTCATACCATAAATTATTAAACAACTTATTTAAATGAATTTCCATTTAAATTGAACTTTAAAATTTCCATTTTAAACTCGCTGCTGATAGAGTCTTTGACTTTGCAATAACATGCTCACCCCTTTAGGATCCTTGGCAAAGTAACTCCCACTGGATCCTTGAGAGATTCTTTCTGGAAAAACTCCACACTCTATAGCTTGTTCTGCTCTCAGAATAATCTCTGCAAATTCTGGATCATCTAAAAATATATTCATATCAGCAATATGTCCTGTATGCCCTGAAAAATAAGAAAACAAGTAGTCTTAAATGTAATTTACACTACAAATTAACAACCTAAATACACACACTGAAAAGCTCACAGCCTTCCCTGTTCATGAAGGCCACAGCCCACTGCATCAGAATCTGATAGACCACTTGGCCAATACTTCTGCAATAAACTACAGTTTAATTTTAAGACTTTCACTGGGACTGTCAGGGACAATCAATAAATTGCATTTCACAGAGTAAGAGGGAAAGGGTTCTAAGGCTTCCCTGACAGTACTTAAGTGAGTAAGGGGAAATTTATTTAGGGAAATAAAGCAAAAAACCAAAACCCAACCAACCAAAAACCAACCCACAATAACCCTTATTTTATGGACTTTTACCTCTTGAATCAGTGGTTCATATTCCATAATAAAGCCTCAACTATCTCTACACAAGAGACATCGCACCACACATCATACAGCTGAGCTGCAACTACTACATATTTTTGTCAGTGAAAGCAAGATCAGGGTTATGCATTATATTGTTCCCAAAAAATAATGCAACACCCATATTAAGCTGCTCTGCACATTAATCTTCCAGATGAAGAGGATCTACAGGTGAACTTCCTATCACAGGGACTGAAGTTGTCCATGCAGAAGACAACTGAGAGGTCGAGTTTTGATTTCTATGCATTCATTCCATAATCTAAACCCATAAGAAGACTCACTGCCTTGAAGAAATCCTTCAGCTGTGTCTTTTCTAATTTAAGAGATAACTGCAAGAAAAACATATTCCATTAAAAAATCAAAATCAAATCAAACCAACCACATTATGCTGTATGCTCAAGGGAGAAAAATAATTTGGGAAACTTACGATTTTTTCAGTATTGCTACTGTGCTACTAGAAAGCCTTCTGTTTCCACAGTGACATGGCTGTACAAAAACACACAGGCTGAAAACAAGGAAACTGGCAGTTTTAAAATGTTTCCTTTCAGTTTATCAACAGTCACCAGACCAAAACGAGCCATTTTTATTCAAGCTAGTATTTGCTGAATGTGGCAGGGTTTTCTAGGTTGGTTTCCTCTTCAAAAATGACTTTAATCAAGTTTTTCATTATGAAATCATGTTATGGTCACAATTTACTTCCCATAGAGACTCTAAACTTAAAATTAGAACTAATCAAGCTTTTTCTTGCAACCACTCTTGTGAACTACTCTTCTCATTAAACTCCCACCCAGGAAACCAGAGCTCAAACAAACACAATCCAACTACCAAGCACAGTAAGTTTTTTGAATTCATTTGGACAAGGCCTAAGGCTGTGAAGCTGCTATACATGGACGTATAGGAATGTATGTATGTATGTATGCAGGAATTATGAGATTGTGCCAAAGAAGATACAAATACTATCATCCATGTATACCCCTCAACCTGTTCTTCTGTTAGGTTAACATGATATAAGCTAAACAAATACGCTCTGCAAGAGTACCATGTATGAACTCTTTCACTACTAAACTAGCTTTATACTATTTTAACATTAACATGATTAAAGGTAGTCACTTCAACCAGTTCCATCTCTTTCTATAGTCTGATATTCTGACCACAATTCCATTAGGAAAACCCTCTGTGTTGCAATAAAATACATTAATAACATCTGTTGCATGTTTGTTCCACCTGACACATGAAACAATCCTGTCCCTTCAAGCGCTAGACACGCAGAAAAGGTAAGGACAAGGAAAGAAGAGTGAGATGAGATGCTGTGATCAATCACAGTTCTGAAATTTTCTTACACGCTCCAGGGGCATATCTGAAGTGTTACTCTGTGGTCACCATCCTCACTGGCCCAGTGGAGCAAGACCCAGGCCTCTAGTCTCCACTCTGAAACATTAACTACTATTCTGCCAGAAGCACTGTCTCATTAACACATCTTCCATCTTGTGGGAACAAGACAGGAGAACTCCAATATTTTAACAGCACGTTTACATTCCAGGTGTGGTCTACACTTGGAACCATTGGGGTTTTTCTTATGGTTAAACACAGTACACTAGCAAAAGCTTCCTGTGGCTACAGATAAAAGTTACTAACATAACTTTTGTTGCTCAAATTGATAGGTGTTTTGTTCAAATTTTTTTAATACGCTGTTATTACAAAAGGAACAATCTTTGCCATCTCTTACAAGAAATCCTATGGTGCAATTGCAACAGCAAACACTATTATGTGATAGAAGTCCACAGATTTCCATCACTGAACCTTTCCTAAATGTATTATCTATTTACAAAGTTGCACAGAATCAGAAAGCTCGTAAGTCTAAAGAAGAAAAATAAGCAATAAATATTGCATAGTTTACATTAATTTAGTTATATAGT